TCATCCCAAGTTAGGGAAAGTTTATCACCATTTTATTGACATGCAGTCAAAGATTTGGCTGGAGAAAAAACTCACTTTTCATCGCTATAGAGGAATCGATGCTACTTCTGACGTTAAACGAATCCAATTAGATTGAATAAAAATCATTTCGACTTTAGTTCAGAAAATTTTGTTAAAGATTTTCTGTAATTCGATCAATCAGTTGATGTTTTGAGTTAAATTGGTTTTTAAAAAAATCAACAAAATCAAGGTTAGAATTAAAAAATAAAATCGCGAATCAGATTTTTAAAATATCAATTAAATTACGAGATTAAGATTTATTAATGCCGTGGTTTATCTTTTTTGTAAGGTTTGAATATAGCTTCATTATTATCATCGGGGGTAAGATGTGAATAAGGACGCATAACAGCGTCTATTGAACAGTATATACTGTTCAATAGACGATGTTATGCGTCCTTATTAATAATGACATATCTCAGCATTTATTGAACAGTATAATTATGACGTGACTCAGCATTCATTGAACAGTATAATAATGACGTCCCACAGCGTCTATTGAACAGTATAATAATGACATATCTCAGCGGTTATTGAACAGTATAATAATGACGTATCTCAGCATTTATTGAACAGTATAATAATCACGACCCACAGCGTCTATTGAACAGTATAATAATGACATATCTCAGCGTTTATTGAACAGTATAATTATGCCGTCTCACAGCGTCTATTGAACAGATAACTATGCCTTCTCACAGCGTCTATTGAACAGTATAATAATGACATATCTCAGCGTTTATTGAACAGTATAATTATGCCGTCTCACAGCGTCTATTGAACAGATAACTATGCCTTCTCACAGCGTCTATTGAATAGTATAATAATGACTTCTCAAAGAGTCTATTGAACAGTATTATAATAACGTCTAACATTATATAATGAAGCCCAATGGCGTATATTGATGGCGTCTATTGAACAGTATAATGTTGACATCTCAAAGCGTCTATTGAAAATATGAAGATGACGCCCCACAGCTTGTATTAGACATTATTATAATTACGTCTAGAAGCGTTATTGACAATGACGTCTCAGAGCGTCTTTTAAACAGTGTAATAATGACGTTTCACGACGTGCGTTAAAGAGTATAATAATTCCGTCTCACAGAGTGTACTGAACAATAATAAAGACGTCTCAGAGCGCTTATTGTGCCGTTTAATTGTGACGTCTCACGGAGTCTACTGAACAGTATAATAATGACGTCTCATGGAGTCTACTGAACAGTATAACGACGTCTCATAGCGTGTATTGAACAGTATAATAATGACGTCTTACATTATATAATGAAGTCCAATGGCGTATATTGAAAAGTATAATGATGGCGTCTATTGGAGCATAATAAAAGCGCTCACAGGGTTACTGATTTGATCGGGCCAGTCAATATAATTCATTTGATATTAGTAACAAGTAAAAGGTTTTCCACGTAATATTTCTGAGTGGACTTTTCAACTTGTATTTAGTTTATGTGTATAATTACATGTTTAAAATTAATCATCTGCAACATAACATAGCTATTGAGCATGTAACGTGGCCAGAATACTAACTGTGTGTGTTTGTTTGAGATGGTATTACTGAAGCTAATAAAAATGTAGGAAGAAAAGAAAGTGAATTATAAACCTTCAATTAATCCCGTGGAATGTACTGCCGTATGTTTTTAGTCTGAGTAGCTTCTTAATGTTTGACATTGTTGATCCTCTAAATTGTTCTTAAATTGATCTTCAACTTGTGTACTGTCTGACAAACTCAAACTCTACATCTTCTTGTGTACATAGTGGGATAATCAAAGATATTGGAGGGAATTAAACTCGGTTTTTATTGTGGACAAAATACTCCAGGTCGATTTTAGGGTGGTTTGATATCGTCTGTGTTAAAAATAGTTGCAGTTGTTTTTGTCTTTATCAAAATCTCATTTGAAACAGTTTTTGTGGACATAAAAAGTGCAGGTGGTTTTCACATCGTCTGTGGTATAAAAACCTGCAATCAAAAACTTCATTTGAGACAATTTTTGTGAGAATGCCAGGTTTAGATTGATCATTGAATGATTTTATGTGCGGTGGTTAAGGAGCAGATGCACATTTTTTTGACCAATCATAACTTAGGTTCAGAAACTGAGCCAATCATTTATAGTGTTCACAGCTCACTCTCAAAATTTTAATAAAGCTATAATATGATATCTTTATATTTATAAACAGGGCTCGAACTATACTTTAAAAATAAAGAAAAAAACACACACAGTGAATTTAAAATATTATGTATTTACAAGAAAAATTATTGCAATTTTAACAGAACACGTATGTCTTAAAACAGACGTACAATTGAGGACATAAAAATATTAGATGAAAATATTGCTATTGTATGCTTTTTCAATTGTCAAAACCATGATTGTATGTAAGGTACAGTAAGAAGAATAACATGCTTTAAATACACATGATCTGTAGGTTCTTATTTTAAATCCAACAATCGTGAAGTCTTTAATCTCCCATTTCTGGCTTGGCTTTGGACACGTATGATTTATAGTTTGGTCCAGCTGAGGAAATAGAAACACCACTGGAGGCTACAAATCCGACAAAATAAAGAATCTTAAAGACGTTCCCATCTTAACGATCATATTTCATTATTTCACAGTCTATATTCTGACTAGTCATAAATATAGAAGAGGAAGGATAATACCCAAGTTATGGCAGTGTATCTTTTAATTATATAGCCCATAATGTAGCTGACGTTTATACCACGATGTACCAGAACGGAACATAATCAGCTATGAACCAAAACCAAGTTAATGAACACAGTTGCATCAGCAGGTATCCTGCACGGATTAGCATAAGCATGCCACTCTGACTACAGAGAACTGCCAACCAGGGTCTGAAATCTGCACATAATAGACTCGTGAAAATAACACATATGAAAAAATTTGCTTTGTTCAAGCGACCAGCCAATCAGATTACGGTATGACCGTAAACCCTGGTTACATCATAGATTATTTTCTCTAAGATATTTGTCGGATTTTTACAATATTTACACGTGCATGACAAAGAGAAATATGAAAGAAAACATTGTGCGTGTGAAATATGAGGAAGAATTGCTTAAAGGGACAGATTCGCCATTTTCAGTTTTTTTTATTTGGGTCTTGAATATATGTATATAATTACTAGAAATCTACGGAAATGGCATATTTTTTTCAAAAATACACCAAACAAGGAATTTCACAAACAGTGAGCTGTGAATAATATTACTGATTAGCTGAGCTACAAAAAATAATCCGGTCTCTCAGTCTGAGGTACGATTGATCGAACGGATGGCGAATCTGTCCCTTTAACAGTTACACCGTGTCCGGACACGATTGATGCTTGCCTAAACAAATAATTTAATGTGTCGATCATCTCAACTGACGAATCTGTTTTCAGAAGTTACAGGCCTATAACTCAGTAAAGGTGCCCTCACACCATAGCTATTACCAGTTGCGTTTGGTTGCGAATATTGAAAGTGACCATGAGTACCGAATGCAAATCACAACTCAGTTGCACGAGAGCTGCTTTCGAAATGTATCACCGCTTTTCTTATCGCATCCATACGCAACTGGTGATCGTCATGGTCATACGAAACAACGTATAGTTCTCATGAAATTCTCATGTAAGAACCAGAAATAGTTTTGTATGAGCCATGGTGTGAGGGCCACTAAGTAACGTTTCTTATGACCCGCGTTCCATTTATAGTTCCATAGTGTCTATTTTCTGACAAAATTTTACTGAATTATATGAATAGAAAGCTAATATGTATTATTGTATACCTAGTCTCATCTCTTTCAAAAATATATACCTTAAAATGGGCCTTTGAATGAATTTATGCGATGCCAATTAGTTCAAATTCTTCCTTCGCAGTGTGCTACCTTGTAGGAATAAATATATATAGACTGTCGACAGTGACAATGTTGAAGAATATTATCAATGAGGTCGATAAGTAGGGTATCACTTAGCCATAAGCAAAACATTTTTAAAAAAAGAAAAATCGGTCAAAGAATGTCTAGTTGACTAGAAAAATTAAGTAACATAATAACAACAGACTATAACAAGAGAATACAATTTCAAGCACACTGGAATTTTATGATGAAAGCGCAAAGAGTTTTCTGAAATATTTTTGGTTATACACCAAGTAGGCGGAGTTCGTGGTCCAAGTGATAAGATTAATTATAGGATTTAAAAAGGTTTTTTTCTCGAATAATAGTCGTAAACTGATTAGGTTCCATCTGGAGTTAATGTTTGGTGGTAACAGCAATACCCTTGTGTTGCACAATATACATATCACTGTTAAATTTCTAGAAATTAGTTAAGAAAAGGTAGGAAGAACATCCAAATTCCACAAAACTAAAAATTGTGTTTCGTAGATCATCTTTTCCAGTTGGTCCTTGTAATCAACTGGAATGGGGCAAACATCAACAAACATAGGTGCAACGAGTTACTTCATTTATGCCATGTGCATCATCGTGCAGTAATTTTACGCCTTGAATTTTGTTTGAAGTTTCCTGAACTTTCTGTAATCATCGTAATATAGACCTTGTTCCATACATTATAAGGAAAATATTCAAACACACTGACCCGTAAACCAAAAGAACTCTTGTAATGAAAAATTAACACAATCACCATCTGTTTACAAATCACCCGGTTTCTATCTATTGTCTCTTTCGGTCTTTCGTAATTCTTTTAAAAGTACCGAAATTGGTGCATTTTCCTATTCATAAATCTTTGGCGGTGAACTGAAATACCTAACTAGTAACGCAAAATATGGTGAACCGCAACATATCCGAACCCCAACCCACTTAAGTTAACGGCCATCACTCATCTAGTTGAGCCACTGTCCAAACATTAAAAAAATTCATATTCACATCATTGGGCTATTTGTTATAGTAATAAAATATAATAATAAGGGAAAATCACATTCGTAAAGAATCACATTGGATTTGTCATCTCGCTTCGCGGAGCTGAAAGTAACACAATACCAGTAATGACCATTGTCATTATCACAAAACAAGATAAGAGAACTCTGTCCACAATTTGCGCAACTTGTTGCCAGTCAAGTTTAATCGACTCGCGTCTATCGTTTTCAACCAGTCGCATTTCATTGCGTTCTATTGTTTGATACACTTTTTGTAGAACTCTCATAAATTGCAGTTCAAAATTCTCAATAACCGGGCTACTCGTTGATGTCATTGGTCTAAATCTTGGCGAGAAATTGTGACCGGAAATGCCGCCATTTGCCTGTTTAGGCTCAGTCTCTAGTTTAACGTCGACGTGACTAAACGATGATAATTCTGTAGCTGGCATGTACTCCTGTAGAGAAACATAATAAAAATGTGAGAAAATTCGGAATGGGACATTATTACCATTAGAAGTTGAAAGGCTAACAAAATATCAGGCTACTATTAGTACAATCTTTCAACAATAGGTTGAATTAACTCTTGTGCTTTTTACACAGTGAGCAGACGACGAGAAAATGATTTGCCTCTTTACTTTGAAATGTAATATCCTCTGGTTTGTTTCGACCGAAGGCTTCACGATAGCCGTTCAATGGGAGACATATTTAGTTGGCCTTCCATAAAGGAATGCTACTAAAACGGTTGTAGCAGAGTAGTTACTGCGGATCCAGCCTGAGGGGAAGTTGACATTGGTGTAAGCATTATTTAATTGAAACATTTCAAAGTAAAGAGGCAAGTCATTTTCTCGTCGTCTGCTCACATGCACATTGATATGGTTTTGACCACATGTCTTTGTGACTAAATTAAAATAAATACCCTATTTCCTCTACTAGAAGCTTCGACATCATGTTGTGGTGCCATTTTATATCTGATGTACCCGGTGTTGGTAGCTCCATTACATTCCTGCTGTTGGGACTGAAACCAAACACCGTTGAGTTTATTACAGAGGTGATGACTAAATCTCGATTCTCATATAATTGATTAAATCTACTCTATTACTGTGTGTAGAGGAATTGTAAAAGTTACAAGAACTAGCAAAAATACCATCTCCATTATTTCAACAAATATTATAGGGTACAAATCAAAAGCTCTTAAAGAACATGCTTTGCATAATGGAATAAGGGTATAAATACGAAAAACAAAATATTCTACACTGATTTATGCTATTATTGGAACAATTACCAGGTCTAATCGTTCTGTTAAAACAATTTTCACCATTATAGTAACCTCATCTGAACGTCCCCTATTAAATGTGTTTCCACGATTAAACGCATCCTCTGTTTATTTGATCGAGACAAAATCGTCCGAGGATAATACACGAATAACTTTATTTTACAATAAGTGCAATTGGATTTGAATGGCAACATTACTGGAATACGTGGGAGTATTATCGCCATATCTGATGCCGTAATTGGAGCGCAGCGTCGATAGTCTCGAAATATTAATGACTTTAATTGGGAAATCGATGTGAAATATATTGTAATTATACCCAGATTATCTGACACTTATTGTTTTTTCAATAATATAATTTACTCAGTGCAGAGTTTTCAATTTCAATTCATGGATATCAATTTAAACCATGAATGAGATTTGCATTAAAGGAATATAGTCGACTAATTATCGTCTTTAACCAGTTGATAAAGTTTAATTTCAACCACCTGTATGATTTTTCTGACATACAGATCATATTTAATTCTTTTACAAAAGATACCTTGCTCACACTGTCGTCACTTGTTTAGAACATTATCGGTGATATCTGCGTGGGAAAACTGTTACTAACAACATTGAAACGTTACTTTTTCCCTTAATCGTAGACGAAGTGGACGTCAGATTGAATTGAGCATTGTCAGATTGTAAAAGCAAATAGACTATTATATCTTATTATTGTGGGTTATGAACTAACTAAAATACTTACATTACTATTCTTTGTTTTTACATCGGATTCAATTTTCATACAAAATATCTTAGCAAAGAAACCAAAGCAAATTTTCTTAATAATCCTAGGAACTTCTAAACCCCTGGCTCCTTTATGATGTATATTCAAGGTAAAAACTGTCATGGCGGTAGCGAACGATACAATGAATATAGTCATTCCATAATATAAACCTGAAAATAGATTTAATAAGACAAACGTGAAAACAGAACATGAATATGAAAGTTTAGTTTACATAGATAACAGTATGTTGTTCAGTATATCATGTCAACGTCGAACTGGTCGAACAGAAGACGCTAGTTATTTTAACTTTTTACTTGGCTTCTTCTTCTGGCTATATGCCATTATAACAATGGTTTGGGTGTCATAGACTAATATAGTTTTACCTATAGCCCAACAAGAACCAAAGCAATCGGACGGAGAGTTGGAAAGGTGGAAATAGAAATATATATTTCTATATGACTCATTTCAGAGCTACTTTCTTTTCGGTAGTTCTTTCTAGAGCTAACTATGGTATTATTTCGTTCGAATCGTGTCAGTGCTTGTCAAATCCTGGATGATGGATCAGAAATATCTTATTTTTGTGTTTTATAAGTAGATTCTTTTTTTCTCTAGAAAACTGTAAAAATATCAAATAACGTGTTGGTACATCAAAAACACTACCAAAGCCTACTTCAGAAAAACAACAAAGGCAATCGAAAAACCAACAAACGGCTATTTATCTGGACATAAAGAAAAGACTGGATGTTTTATAAGATATTATTGAATAATAAATCGTTAAATAGCCTGATAACTTTTGATCTGCCAATCGTTCTACTGATGCCGACCTTTGATTATAATTATACTGTAGATGTAATCAAAGTACTGAGCCATCGACTGAGATTGGTGAAAGCACGATCATTACGTGTGAAATAGTCTTCAAAGTTCGTTTAAATAGGTTCTTTAGGCATAACTACCAATCAAGTTAGAGTAATTCGTTCATCAATACTGATCTTACCTGCCCTGTGGGTTCAGAGGAAGTCTAATCAATTTACTCGTGTCAAAGCCCGACAGATATTAAAGTTTTTTATATTCTTTCATCATCGGCTGTTGAAAGACTAAATTCTATGTTGTCATATCCAAACTATTATGTGCAAAAATAATACCGAATTATTTTTTAGCCATTAAGAGCCAATTAAGAAGGAACTAATTACCTGTGCGGGCCAAGTTGTTCTTATGCAATTACGTAATAATATATGAGCACATTTTTAAAAGGGGGCTCAACTATAGTGACTCAACAAGTAATTTAAGTAATCTAAATTTTTCAAAAATCAAAATTTCAAAATCAGGGCCCCGCTGACTCTCCTCTACCTATGGGCCTGATTATTATCAGTATTATTATTATCATTATTATTATTATTATTATTATTATTATTATTAACATTATTATTATTATTATTATTATTATTAACATTATTATCATGATTATTATTATTATTATTATTATTATTAACATTATTATTATTATTATCATTATTATTATTATCATTATTATCATTATTATTATTATTAACATTATTATTATTATTATTATTATTATTATTATTTAAGCTGGTGGTTAAAAATGACTTCTGGTGTACCTTAAGCATAATTGGAATATGATCAATAAAAATCAAGGTTAGGTCGACAGCATGTTTGCTTTAATACAATGTAATAATATATAAAATTTAATCATTAATATTTACATTGGTTTCTTCCGTATTGTTAATCAATTTAAAACTTTAAGGTGCCGTCCAGTGTAACATTATGTAATAATGATTCCATTTCGTATTTTGTATCTAGATATGGCAACGAACTACATATCAATTAACAAATTAAAATGGCAGTTTGCTGTTTGAGATTGGCTCAATAGAGGTTTGCTTAAGGATAATTTGCGGTTTACTTTCGGCTCAATGTCAGTTTGATGTTAACGCACTATACAAAATGGCAGTTTGCTGTTTGCGCTTGGCTCAATGGCAGTTTGCTGTTCGCGACTGGCTCAATGGCAGATTGCTGTTTCTGTTTGGCTCAATGGCAGTTTGCTGTTTCTGTTTGGCTCAATGGCAGTTTGCTGTTCGCGACTGGCTCAATGGCAGATTGCTGTTTCTGTTTGGCTCAATGGCAGTTTGCTGTTTCTGTTTGGCTCAATGGCAGTTTGCTGTTCGCGACTGGCTCAATGGCAGATTGCTGTTTCTGTTTGGCTCAATGGCAGTTTGCTGTTTCTGTTTGGCTCAATGGCAGTTTGCTGTTCGCGACTGGCTCAATGGCAGATTGCTGTTTCTGTTTGGCTCAATGGCAGTTTGCTGTTTCTGTTTGGCTCAATGGCAGTTTGCTGTTCGCGACTGGCTCAATGGCAGATTGCTGTTTCTGTTTGGCTCAATGGCAGTTTGCTGTTCGCGACTGGCTCAATGGCAGATTGCTGTTTCTGTTTGGCTCAATGGCAGATTGCTGTTTCTGTTTGGCTCAATGGCAGTTTGCTGCTTGCGCTTGTCCAAACGGCAGTTTGCGGCTTGCGCTTTGCCCTATGTCAGTTTGCTGCTTGCGCTTGGCCCAATGTCAGTTTGCTGTTTGCGCTTGGCTCAATATCAAGTTGATGTTAGTGCTTGGCTCAATGTCAAGTTGCTGTTAGTGCTTGGCTCAATGGCAGTTTGCTTCTTGCGCTTGGCCAAACGGCAGTTTGCTGTTAGTGCTTGGCCCAATGTCAGTTTGCTTCTTGCGCTTGGCCAAACGGCTGTTTGCTGTTTGCACTTAGCTAAAAGACAACTTGGTGTAGTCAGAATCACTTTGATATTCACTACGATTCAGACCATCTACATCGTTTTAAAATCTGAACCAAAAAGTATCTAAATCGTATTCTATACCATCACTCAGACAATATATCGAGCTAATATGAGTCTGGGCTTGTCACTTTAATCAACCATGTAATTGTATGTGTGAGGAGCTTATTTAGAGAGTAATTTAATAAAGAAATTTGTTTGAGAACATACAGTATTTTTAGAACCAAGGTGATTAATTAAAGTTTCTTGGTAATAAAATATTTTTATTCTGTTAATAATTAATGCAGGGTATATTCATATTGGCCCACTTGTATGTTTGTATTTCATGTTTCAACCTTAACAGAAATATAATCATAAGCTATGTATAATTCCTTATAAAGGGATGCTCGATTGGAAAATACGGTGACAGTGTGCCATCAGTATTCAAGTCATTATCTTAAATCTGACACCATGTCAGATATAATAGCTATATAGGCTATAGTACTTTATCAGAAAATGTCAGTGGTATTCATAAAGTCCTCGTCTCAATGTCTGAGCTCAAATTCCATAAATTGGAATTGCCTGCACAGCTATAAAAGACTGACTGGGTAAAAGTATAATCCAAACAGGATATCTAGTTGTAAAGACAGGAAAGGAATATTTTAATGATAGACAACAATATCAATGGCGTTTCTACGCCCTCCAACCACTTTCAAATTTGTTATCATTGTTATAATGTATGAGTTATTGCCCTTGTTCTTTAAAATGTGTTCAAATTTAAGCACGAAAACACTCTAGAAGGTCCAATTCTTGACAGATTTTTACTAAACTTGGTAGTATTATACAGAATCGCACCGAAATATTTCATTTATTTTTTATATTACCTTGCCTGTCAAGCGATATTTTATAGCGAAACAATGACTTAACCAGAAGTTAACAACCAAAATTGATATCGCTAATTAATATATCATAGATATCCTTACACAGGACCGAAATGACTGAATTAAGAGGTATACTGACAATGGGTAGTTTCCGTAGAGGGAGCTAGAGGACCGTTTAGAATAATGAGTCACGTCAGTACTATATACTAATGGAGGAAAACATTTATTTATTTCCTTATAATTATTTTGATTCCATCAACTATATAATTCTATCAGCTACTATTTCTCCAAATTCAATCGTTTTGATTCGTTGTAGAAGAATCATAATCCGTAAAATTAGCGATACCAAAATGTAAAGCAATTTGTGACTTCCGGTTGGGGCGGTTGGTTTACTGGTGATGTTTAGTGGTTGAGATCTACTAACTAGCTTTAAAAGAAGCACGTGAGGGTGTACTTCGGCAAGCCACAAGTAGTGGGTACAATGAATTTTTAAATGCTTTTCAAAAATCAATTTGGAAACACAGTGGACATTTTGACATTTAAAATATAGTCTTCCGGTTGGGGTTCGGCTTTAAGATTAATACATACGGGGGTATTTTTGATCGGTACAGAATTTTTTAAGGGTTTTGTGCTTATCACAATCTATTTAGAAACAAATACAGGAATGTAACGCCACAAGAGAAATTGACATTGAGCATAAACTTACCTATTAGAGGAAGAACATCAGAAGTAGGAGGCATGTTCTCAGTCACGAGCATCATAAATACTGTCATTGATAGCAGAGTGGTGATACCCATTGTTACTTTTTCCCCGGAGTCAGACGGAATGTAAAATCCTAGTAAAGCCACCAGTGTTATCATTATACACGGTAGAATCATGTTGAAGATGTAGAATAACGGACGTCGTCGGATATGGATGTAAAACGTTATATCCGGGTACGGTTCCGCACAACACGAATAATACACTACGTTTCGTTCTACTTTCAGTTTATCCAATTCCCATTCACTATTATGGATGTAGTTTGTTGTATCTCCATCTCCGGTATTAACCATTAAATTCAGTTGATATCCGTCGTACGTCCAAGACGCAAACAACATCGTACAGTTCTGTTCATCAAACGGAAAATAACGTACGTCAATTGAACACGAACTTTTGAAAATGACCATAGATAACCACGTGACATTACCATCTGACGTCACTATCACATTGGAACTAATTGATGAAAATATAGAGGAGACATCGGCACTGAAAATAAAAAACATCAGTATAAAAATGATAATTATGATCAGCGGGTAGTAAATATGGACAGAAGGATACGATGGTAAGTGCTCAAAAAACCGTTTTGAAGAGATATTCATCAACAATTCAAATGCTATCAGATCTGTAGTTAGTTAACAATGTATTGGCTATTGATATCACTTTCCAAAATGAAAATGCAAAGCCAAGTTTATCTACAATTAAATATAAATCGACTGGGTTATCTGCTTTTGGACTTTTTCACACAGATTTGGAGGTGACCATAATGCAATCATAACAGATGTAAAATGTACAATTATACGACTAAAAACCTTTGTTTTACGAATATCGGCGTACCAACAGAAATCTAGATTTATAAGTAATATATTGAAGTATGAAAATCTGAATAAAGAAAAGGATTTAACATAACAATAACCAAAGGCGGAAAGACAATACAGTATTTGTGGTATATTTGGTAAAAATCAAGAATGGGTGATCTAAGTTAAGTTATAAGACAGGCAACTTCTGTATCCAAACTCAATCATCTACTGTAGTTATTACAATAACTCAAAAATTCCTTAAATCGCTGAAGGTTCATCTTTCTTATTCGACAGAGCCAGAGACATTTCTGTGGATTATTCAACTGGGTTCACGACTGACAGTCATCGATAGATCACGTGATGATGACCAAGACTTCATGTCTTTCTAAACATGCCTGGAAAAACTTTTATTAAGCTCAAACATAATGCAATTATTTAACTCTCCTGTCAACAGACGAATCTGAATCATATTACATGTTACAAATTGTCCCGTAGATTAAAAAAAACAATGCCTCGACAAGATTCTACTATGCCTACTAATGGAATTCATAATTGAAGCTCACTTGTTATACAGAAGGACATCCGGCCTCCAAACTTGATCAAAAGGTAGTCTAATAACTTTAATACCACCATAGTCATCCGGGTCCCATCTTAATGCATAATCAATCCATATCTGAAATATATAAAATAATCTATCGAAAATTTCGTACGGTTTATCGAATTTCCGGATAGTTAACATATGTCATTACTATAGTCTTCTGTTTTGACACCTGTCAAGTGTCACGTACGCACCATGGGATAAACATGCATGTATTTTACATGGTCTTTCAAACTAGAAGTTTCATTTATGCTAGTTGAAAAAGTCCATAAAAAAATATTGAATTTAAGAGTAGTATTAGTTATAACCAGTGGCGGACCCATGTTTTCGTCCGAGGTGGTGTAGGGGGGGGGGGTGACCTGAAGTTTCCCGAATTTCTAACCTAGTCATGAGATATTTGCCCCAAAAACATGCCATTGGAATCCCTCCGATTGATCATCTTCAGTACCACTATATCGACACCTACAGCAGTGCGATAGTATGAGTTCCTGTGAAGCTGGTCCAGCTTTGCACTAAATTTATGTTGATAGCTTACTGTTAAAGTTTCACATTAATAATCAATTCACTTCACTTTATTTCTTACTTTTATTTTATGTCGGGATGCGTTTTTAAATTTGTATCTCTGTCAATTTTAAATTCTAATAATATTTTATGTCTTACTGCAATCTCTTGTTTTCAAGAGATATGTTTTTGCTACTTTGAATGATGTCGATTTCGTGTTTGAAAACAGTAAATGAAATATGAATATTTCCCTTCATTATTTACTTAACAGTTAAAGAAATACCGGAAATCATTTTACACAAATGTTCACACCATATTAGAATTACTGTCGGCAATTACTAGCATTTATCATCGATCCCAGGGTCACCCTCCAACCCCGGGGGTTCGTGCAATTCATAAATATTACTGGAAAAATCATTTCAGTGGAATAATTGAACAGTTTTTCTCAAACTATCTAAAAATAGTTCTCAAACTAATTTCTAAAGCCGAGAGGAATTCTTAATACTCTTATATTCTTTACACTCATTCTATTTTTTAAGATTTTAGTTCTATGAATGGAGCACGTTCGTATAACTGCATATTATTGTGTTTATGTCAAATTACGATGAAGGCAGATCCGCTTTCAATAACGATTTCATAAACAATTTGATCTGACTCTATTTATTCAAGATATTTAAATGAATTTAAACGTCACGTATTTCCTGAATGGTGGACAAACAGCACTGGAGTTCATTGCCCTCCGACCGATGTCCATTTAATTTGAATTGAATTAAACTTCCTTCTTATTACCGGAAGCTAAAACTCACCAAAGCATTTCAGGGCCTTTTATAAAAAGATAATTTCGTAATCTTTCTTCATGTAATATAAAAATATTATACATAAAAAGCCACTGACCTGATTCAACCAACAATTAGTTGTTAATATTTGATTCTTCTCATCCTGAAAATAAAATATAATGAATTTTAGAGATATTTTATCTTGAGCAGTGCTCCTCAACCTCAGTGAGATCATTCCCCGTTAAAAGCTCTTCCGAATCTATTCCTCCCCAAAATAAATCGGTCATTTTGACATGTATTTCACTTGAAAATGTGTTAAACGATTAACCATGAATGTATATACCATCATAATCCACATATTGAAATAGCACAATTTGACCCTTGAGTCGAATATTCGTTCATGATTTTCTGTATGTCCGGGCGGCAATTTCAGTTTAAATCACCTTCGCTTTAACGAACCACGTGTCAGTGTGAGCACATCAACAACCTTACTGAACATACGTGGTAGGATATGGCAGCAGTAGATTCCTCTCCATTAAACCCCTGACAATAATTTCTCCATTGGGGAGGAATTACTCCCCTCTTAAGAAGCACAGATCTAGGGGATGTTCTTGTTTAGTTCAGTAAGTTTGAGTACTTAATGCTAAGTGCTTCATTATGATATATTTTATCTGTTAACTTACATTAGGACAAAACGATGACAGCGAAGCAACCTGCACGAACTTTAACGTTTAACTTAAATCAACCCAGAGTTCTGTATCGCGGAACATCCGACAATACAATCACGGGAAACAAATGTAATCAGTATGCTCTTTCTACATTCTTATCTGAAAGTTTCTGATTTTGCACAATTCTATAAAATCAAGGTGAAGTAAAGGTAATTAAAAGTATTTCATCTGTTACGACGCTGTCGACATGAGCGAAATTGAGAAAATGACAGTCCACAATCATATGCTGATATTCAATATCACATATGCACAAATAGAAGGAGATTCCATTTTGATGCAAAATCAAAGCAACTAAGGTCAACTGTCGGCAACTGAGATTAAACGACTATGCAGATTCGCTCAGATTCCGCCAGTAGTTGTCAACTGCTGCTAGCAGTTGCTTGCACATTATTTCAGTCGTCAGGTAGACCCCAGCCCCCTTCAATGCATTCACGTAATTAGGTAAGGACAGATAAATCATCCTTCATTAATGAGACCAACCATTGTTATAATATATCTGTCGTTTCGCCTATTTTACTAGACTATTTCCATCAAACACATTACACGTTGAGTAATCGTCCCATCCCATGTTTATCCTATTCTCGTAATCGTTTACTAACTTTACATGTCGGTGTTTGAAAGCTAAGTGTCGGAAATAGAAGCTGCTATCGTCGTCATTGAGATAATAGAAAACATACAAATTACGAGAGAAGTCAAAGGTTTTTGAAACCAAAGACGAATTTCTCTTTTAACGTGTTTTAACTAAGTTGATTGTTTTTGAGCTTGTGTTCTATTTACAGCATAGTTCAATTGATTCAACGACTTTAATGTTAGAGATGTGATAACAGAAAATGACAATTAAACTCAATGATTGGGCAGACAGATTCAATAACACAAAAAGCTGATAGTTTTCACTTCAATAGTTATTCAAATCTTCAAACGCTCAACTTAACTCGTGTCAAAAAAGGTCGCTGCATTTAAAAACCTCTGGCTTAGAGTATGGCGCGATATATGTCTGATGTGACAACGTAACCTGTATAATTTGGTAATTCGGAATGACGAAACGTTTGTCCTACAACGCCATGATCTGCGGCACCTTTCTTGTGGCGTTCTGTGACGCATCTCTTACAATGTGACGTTGCAACATGTCACGATTACTTATGATAATTTAGTGATGATATTTCGTGTGACGCATCTTTTACAATGAGCAGTTAAAGCATGGCATGATGCCTTATGGTGTATTGTGATTATATTGAGTGATCTGAAGTCTCTTATGCTAATACTGATATTGTTAATTAAAGCGTGTTATGACGCTTGTCTAACAGAGTGATAGAGAGTGGTGTGGCGGAACAGATCGTTATACCACGCCGTTTTTCTAACCACTAACACAAAGCCTTTTTACTACGTCATATACGTACCATGATAATATTAATAAATAAATAAATTTAACCGATGAAAAATTATAAAATAAAACAAGTTCGAGCATTATGTTCCAATACGGAATTAGCCAAGTCTTTATACTGTTAATGTATTAAAACTCATCTTGCTTTTTATCTTAATCTTTCCACTCCTGAAGTACAACATCTGGAAAATAACGGCTTCTTATCGTGCGACTTTTATTGATGCATTTTACACTCTTCTTCAGTCCTTGTATGTTTTCTGTCGTTTTTATTGGCAAGAGATTAGAAAGTGACATTTGTCTTTTATCTTGTGAATATAATTCAGCGAGAAAGAAATTCTAGACGTCATGTTGATGTGTAGAACAAACCGTTCATTATTTATCATTATACTAGTATCTACGAGATAAAAGATTAAAAGTCAGACGTAATTCAGAGTGCTATCGACTGGTCCAAATATGGGCCTCGCATTTGGTTTTTCGATACGCACATGCATCTTGGGTTCTTTTCATATTGGGAATCAAAGATCAAGTAAATTTTCTGGAAAGAACTCAAACTCGTTCAATATACAAGGTATTTTAGAACTATGATGCGCAAAACTCAGTTTATTATATACTCAATTTAAATCATTAGACAGATAGAGAATTAGGACAGACCCGTGGCAGATCGTAGCAGCCCCATAAACATCCCTTGCAAAATTTACGTCCTCTCCTATTTTCTCTATATATATACTGCAGAACATCCTTATCTTCCTGAAGTAATTATACTTCATTTAAATAGTCTTACATGGTCCTGAATCGATCCCCGCATCTTATTCACTACTATCATAGTTTTTCGAAAAGTACATTATCATTCAATTAATTTAGACTGACCGTGGGTTACATTACATTTCTAGATTATAGAATAAACTATCAACAAACTATTGCTTGTTTGTAGAAACTCTGTACCTTGGAATTGTATCAACAGGATTGTAGACTGTTGATAAATTATCTGATTATAGAATCATCAGATATTATTCAGCTCTCATTATCCACATGTAGGAGATGTTTTGTACCGTGGAAATATTGGAAACACATGACAACACTTCACTGTTGATTACACTACATAGGGAAACTCACTATTGTATCAATAGAGCTTACATTTATTGCCACTTAGCAGAAAGATACCTAAAAATAACTATCGTCATATCAACATTGTAATGTTTTGCCAAACTATGGTTTACAAATCTGGGGGTAAAACTATTTTGAGCTTTAAGGATACGGTAACTTAACTACGAACAATAAGATGATAAATAGTGCTCTATATCAAAAAATAAAGACAGAAATCCATAGTCTGCTTATGTATTCTGTACTTGCGATACATTGCTAAAAGATAGTGTTATAGGTATATATCAGCCTTTCTCTGACTGTGAATGATAATTGTCCATTGAGTAAGTTATATCCCGGGGACTAGAATTAAGATAATAATTATATCGTCTCATGAAGTTCATGTAACAATTCTAGTTGTAGAGGAAGCCATGTTAAGTTAAGAGCTTTACAAATTACACAAGAATCCCAACAAGTCACCGCTTTACAATTGATGTTGTCCTTACAATGGTGTTAATATTATTGGGAGGCTTCTTATACAACATGTGTTTTGTGATATCAGATTTCGTAGGGTTACGGGATAAAAAGTACCATTAACCATAGAGGACTATTTTTCATAATATACAGTAGTGCCTATAGTTACATACTCTGAAGGACTCGACTTAATGACCATCAATACTATCTCAGGATAATTACAAGTTTTGTAAGAAGATAGCAAATATTTTACTATACTGTAAACTGACAAATATCTATCAAAAACAATAAAAGTTAACAATATAATATAGTCATTAACAAAAATATCATTGAAAAGACAAACAAATATCAAACCATATACCATTCTGCGAACGTAGACAATATTTTACAAGAAAGCTTAAAATGTTATGATGCACTCTGTCAGTGATGCAGGTAAGAGGGTAACTCAAACTCAACACGTGATTACATGTGCACGTAAAACCGCGCGATATTGGGTCAGTAAACAAAGGAGGAGAGGAAAGGCACCTACAGTAATGATGCCATCAAGCTGATTGTTGTCCACAATCGCCAAAAACGCTCACCAAGTCACCCGTTGGCCTTACGGAGGTGTTGAGTTTGAGTTTGAGGACAAGCAGAAAATTTGATTTGATTTGAAACGCCACTGGTTTAGGACAGTGGCGGAGTCAGGTTTACGTCGGAGGGGGGCGAGATATCTGATATTGCCCGAATCTCTAACCTAGTTATGAGATTTTTGTCCGAAAAACTTGCTTTCAGGTCTGCGAGGGGGGCGCCCCACTGGTTTATGATATACTTGACTAAAACTGTGCCAGTGGCCTGACCGTTGATTTCAGCGATGCAGATTGACTTCATGCTTCTGTGTCACCACGCTAAATAATTTGTAGACACAACACTCTAGGCCATTATAAGAGTTCGTACTGTATGTTGGGAATCCAGTTAACCTTATTTGTAATTTATTAGAGTTTATGAACTGGAAAATTATGGAAGATGTACAGAATGCCAAGTAGAACCACAGTAGTACCTTAAGTCAAGTAGCTGTTAGTTCATTGACGTTGGTTGATCCGCAGTTAGATTATTTAATAAGTCTTCATTAGTGTGTTATTTTAAGCTTGGATTACCCGGGGTTAACCTTCATCAAACCTCTTTAATTCAATCAAATCATACGTTATATTTCTACACCTGTACACCCACTTTTATAGCATTGGCAGACAACTCTTGTCATTTAGTGTCCAGAATACACTAGATATTCTTCTTATATAATGCTCGCGCCCGTTCAGTTAATTGTCTAACTTTGTCCTTAAGCTGAACACCCTAGGAAACTTAGCAGCCGTTTCCATTGTCGGCAGCATAAGATTAACTTTTTTATCTGATGGTTTTTCTTTTTTTTGTCACGTTGCAATTTGTAGTGTTTGTTGAGTATGTTTAGCAACAATGAAGGGTGTTGCACCAGACAGGGAATGTTTACTCTTCTAGACACCTGAT